GTTCTCTGAGGCTTTCAGGGAAAACACGAAGGAGCAGGTCAGGCAGGGCAGGGGCCCGGAAGCTAGCTAGCTCATCTGCTGGGGCTACGTTCTTGTCTTTTAGGAGCTGGAGGTGGCTAATGTTGTGGTTTCAGCGCCATCTGCTGGTAATCAACTGGCATGGCAGAGGCGCCAAGGCCCAACGCATAGTAGGTGATAACTAACTGGCTGGGTCAGGCAAGGGCACCTGGGAGTGACCCCATAGAGCCCTTCGGGTTGAGCCACAAGCACCCTCCCGGCAGTCCTCAGGGGCTGACATCCTCAGCTCCGCCCGAGGCTCAAGGGCAGCTCCATGTCTGGTCCTGTGGGGACCCGGATTCCCTTCTGCAGGACCCTGCATTCTGCAGGAGCAGCCCAAGAGCTCTTCTGTGACACACACTACAGGTGGGCTCTGGGTGGGCAGGGAGAGAGAGAATATGCTTCAGACGCAGCTTTGCTTCGATATATCTGCCTGCTGCCGAGCAAGCACTAAACATGCCTAACTACACACCTGCACGGTGCATAGGAATGCTCACAGAAACCTCAAACATCATCAAACCGTGAAGATTAGCAGCTTCCTTCTCTGCCCACCCAAAAGAAATGCAAAGAGGGACTGAGAAGCCAGCTCCTCGGAGACAGGTGACAGGGTCAGACACAGGTTGGAGCCACACTGTGCCTTCCTGGACATGTAAGCCGGAGGTTCTCCGACCCTCAGCTTCCCCACCTGTGAAATGGGAATTAAAATGTTACTTATTCCCCCGGATTGCAGAGACTATTAAATGAACTAGTGCCCATAATGACAAAAGGGACAAGGACTTGAATTCCTTAAGTTCTCACCAAAGAATTTCCTTTTCACCCACATCGTCTCCTGTAATCCTCACAACCACTCCTCCGACAGGGAGGGAGCAACCTCCGTCCAGACCCCAGCTCCACCCCACAGCTCTCCTGAACCCTGGGCACCAAAATAGCACCTGCCCCGTGGAGCTGGAGGAGGACTCAGGAGCCTAGCTACTGAGAGCTCAGCACTGCACAGAGTGTGATCAGCACACAGGACTGCTACTCCGGCCTGCTCCTCCCAATTCTAAGACCTGGGAGAAAAAAAATGCAAAAGATCCCCACATGCATCTTGCACATGAAGAAGTTCATTTTAGTATTAACTAGAAGAGCAAACCTAGGAATGACCCTAGTGGCCCCAGCAGGGAAATAGCTAAGCTGGCAGGGGGTCTGGAATGTTCTCCTCATTAAAGCCATGTTCCAACCCCATCTGCACACCGCATCTGAATGCCTCAACCTGCGGGCTGGACAAAACAGCCATGAGGAGCCCCAGTGGGGAAGAATACAGGGATGAAGCAACAAGCAACTGAGTCGAATGACACTGGCAGGCCTTGGGACATTCAAGGACAGCAGAGAAGGGAGACCCCAAAACACGCCACCTGCTCCGTATGGGTGGCAAGGTCATGGCTGATCCTTTTCCTTTTCTCAGTGTGCTTTTAAGATGTTACTACAGTTTTCAAAGTCACAGTACTAACTTCAGTTTGAGGCCCTCGTCCTAGCCTGGCAGCTTGGCCGGAAGCTGTCAGGAAGGTTTAGGGGCCCGGCTTTCATGGAGGGCCGATTTCACCCAAAACAGCTGGCCTTCCAGTTCGCTCAGCCCTCCCCAAAACTACACCAGCCAGGGACATCTACCTTGGGGTGGCAGGGTGGTCCCCCGGTGACCATGGGCCCTTGCACCCCTGCCATCACCAGACCTATGGCCAAAGCCAGCTGCCACTTGTCACCAAACTTTCACTCTTGTTGCTTTTGTGGTGGAATTGAGACTGAGAAATCTCTCTCTGACCTGGGCAGCTGCACTTGTCCTTGTTATCTGCCTGACCTTCGGGGACATCTGGGCTGGCAGCCCTGGCCTATGAAATTACACTGAAAGAGACATGAAGGCTGCTCAGAATGAGCTACAGCTACACTAGCCCCACCAAGGAGAAAGACACGCCGCCGGCCTGATGTTCCTCCCGAGGGAAGAGGCCCAGGCAAGTGTGCAGAACCACTGCCTGGGGAGCAAGGTGGCCTTGCTTATTACCCACACATTCCTCACTTCCAATAGACGTTCTCGCTGCTGGCAAATGCCCTCCACACGCAGCTCATCAAGGATGCATTTCTCGCTGAAGATTTGCATTGGCTGAGGATTTTCAATTTTAAAAAACCCTGTCTCTCTGTTTCGGCAGCGCCCACCAGCCAGGCCCCTTGCTAAGCAGGCGCCGCACACTCATCACAGGCTGCACACAAAACGTGTGATGGTTCTCCCTCCAGCTCAGACTGAATGCGAGACAGAACTAGAGCAAGGAGGAGCCAAGGGCTAAGCAAAACCCATCCCTACCTGCGTGAAACTCCATGACAGAGGCAGGGTGGGAATCTGAGATAGCGTGTGCATTGTAAGGAGGTCCGTGAACCAGACAGAATTTATAAACACCACAGGCTCAGTCAGCGAGCGAAAAACATTTGGAAGACTTTTAATTGGAAGCCATTTGGCTCAAAGGTGGTTCATCAACCGCAGAATTTTAGTGAAGCACAGCTACATTTGGATGGAATTCTATTAACCTTTTCCCTAAAACTGTATTTGCTGTAATTGCCAATCATCATTTCTTCTTTCAAAAAAAAAAATTAGTTTGGGTCTAGTTATCCAGAATGTTCTCTCGTCCTGTTACAACTTCTGTGGGGAATCAACGTTCACCTAGTGAGGTGGGAGGTTGGGATTGTGCCGGGGAAGCCTTGCTCCCACTGGGCTCTGCATACATCCTGTCCACGTGCATCACAGAGTTTGTGTCCCTTCACTGAGAAAAGAACAAAGAGAAGTAAATGGAGCAGCCGTTGTGCCCAGCGTGGCTGCAGGCTTCCTGCTGGTTCCTGGCCCTTTGGTTTCTGGGCTGAAACCTCGGGAATTCACTGTGGCTTATATGTAGACAGCAAGAAGCTCCGCATACAGAAGACTCCCCAAATAGGGAAACTCCTCCTGACCAGCAAGGCCCCTGTGCTGGCCTACTGTATGCCAACAGCACGTTCCTCCAGGAAAGCATAAAACCAAGGCTCCCGCTGCTTGCTGGAGGGCCCTCAAAGCTTGAAAGAGCCCACTGTGTTTCTCTCCTGCAGAGTCCACCTTCCTGGACAGCACACAGGAGCTTCAGCAGGGGACCCCAGAAGAGGGCACCCCAGGAACTGGCAAGTGCCACCCACCAGGGCCTCTCCCCAGCGAGCTGCTCACTCGGGCACCAGCATCCTGCTGCTGGGCCCTCTCTCCCGCCTCCGCCCTCTGTGCCCCACACCTCCTCCCCTGGGCCAGGGCAGTCCACGCCCTCCACAGTCAGCCACATCTCCCTCCTCATTCCCCAAGGCCTGTTCTCTGTGTTCAGACCTCACTGACCTTCCTATTCTCTAACCATGACCTTCTCTGAGCACCCCAATCCATTGTGGCACCCCCTTATGTCACACCACCCAGTCTTGCTTGCTCCACTGGAATCCCTGCTGCCTGAAAACACCCCATTTCTTTACTTTATGTCACTGTGAGCACTGTCTGTATGTCTCATCTGGGACCTAAATTTGCCAAGGGCAGACTTTGTTCCCCAGAATTCCCAGGATCCCAAACACTTCCTAGCACCCAACAAATCCCTTTTCAATAAATGAGTGAATCCCTCTGATAAGAAGTAAGTAAGGCACAGTCGCCATGCCAGGTCTCCTCCTCCAATGATCAGAATAAAAGCCAGTGCTTTACAATATATTTCAAGCTCTAAATCCAAACCACTTCCAACCCAGACTAAAATACATATCCTGCAGAATTATCAAGATTCATGGAGAAATAGGGACATTTCATGACAAAGAACAACTTAAAAAGGTATGAGAACAGCAAACCAGCATTCAAAAAAGAAAAAATACTCAGTAGAAGTCAGTGAAGCCAAAACAGACAAGAAATCAAGGGGAGTGAATGTATCAAGCATGGCAAATAGTTTTGTTTTTTTTGTTTTTTTTTTTAAGGAAAAATAAAGGAGTCATCAACAGAAAAAGAACACAATGACAGGAATAAATGAATACTCAGTTACAGTGCCCCATACAAAAGGCCTCAGCTCCCCCCGAAAAAAGACACAGACTGGCAGACGTGTCAGAGACGGAATCCAACAGTCTGCTGCATTCAAGAAACTCATCCAGTCCAAAAAGAAGTTCATGGACTAAGAATCAAACAGGCTTACACCCAGCCTTTGCTGTGTGCTTCTGCAAACCTTTCCTCCCCACTATGCCTCAGTTTCCCCCTTGGAGAAGCGCAGACAGTGCAAATGCCACAGAGCTGATGAAAGTGACAGGCGCTGGCACTGAGCACCACTGGGTGTGGCTGGAACATACCTGTGCAGGCTGCTTTGGCCACCACTGCTGTTGTCAGACTGCTGATGCTCACAGCCCGCCCCCGAGCTCGCTCTTCTCCTTCCCACACTGCCCTGCACCTATGTGGCCCCGGTGCCTACCTGAAGGTGATGGCGTAGGAGTCCTCCAGCCCGTCCTGCTTCCTTTCGCGCTTCCGGATGAGGAAGGCTCCATCTCGAGGAATCCGCATCAGCATGTCCTCCGCCTCCCCGCGGCTCAGCCCGTCATAGTACCACCTGCACCCAGGAAGGAAGACAGCCAGGTGAGCGCCCTCAAGGCCATCAGGAGCCACCGCAGGGATAGACCCGTGGGCTCCAGGGACAACTAGGACGTGGCCCTGGAAACAGCCACAGGAGTCACATTGGGGACCTGCCTGGCCATGACCACCTGCAGAGATGGTGGTGTCTGAAAAGAAGCCTGGAGACCAGGTGGGCCTGGGCAGAGTACAGAGTAAGTCCACTTGTCCTCACCCCTCACAGGCTACCTCCGAGGGGGCCTGCACCCATCTCTGGGAAAACTGAGGTGGCATTTTTGTTTATTGTTTTTAGTTATTTCTAAAGATGCAAAATAGCACATTTTAGCTAAGAATCTGGCCGGGGCCCTCTCGGGAGTGCTAAGCCTCTGGTGCATCCAGGCCAGAGACAAGGGGCCAGGCACTGCATGAAAATAAAATATAAAAACTAGAGTTGCTATGAATCATTTGCCTTCTCTCAAAATGAAAATCATTGTATAAAAATCATTTTTCATTTCCACAATGTTTTGACCTTTCACAAAGCCCAACTTGATACTCCCTTTTGCCACCCTTTTCTTTTCCTTATTCTCTGTCAAACAGGAAGTGGTTCAGAGAAGCAGAAGGATAGCTCAGGGCCAATGCTAAACTCTGAATGTGAAAGCCTGAGACTGCAGGACTATGAATGCAAAGTCACAGGGGAGGAGGAGGAGAGGAAAGAAGGGAAGAGAGAGGACAGTGAGGCTGATGGTGGCAAGAGGCTGGCCTGGGGTCTCCTGGGGGCTCTCAGGCTTCGGTGGGCCAGGGTCAGAGAAAGAGGGCCGGGTATGTGACCCAGCCCGGGACCTACGGCTTGGACTCATGCGGGTTGGGGTTGGGCACAGGGTCGGTGAGCCGCAGCTCAAACTCGGCACAGCGCAGGTGTGACTCGCGGTAGTGCTGGATGAGGTCGTAGATGCTGCTGAACTTGAGGTTGTCGGTCAGGTAGTACTTCATGGCCCCATTCTCCACAGCGGAGCGGATCAGGCAGTGCTGCACGCGGCCCGACCGCCTGCAGGACAGGGCTGTCACCGGGGTGGAAGCTGGGCATGCCCAGTGGACACCGCCCCGCCTGCTACCCACCCCGCAGCAGGCTCCTGGACGGGAGGGTTACCAGAAGGACAGGGTGTAGGCGTTTGGGTGGCTCTCGCTCTCCCGCACCAGGAAGGTGCCGTCCTTGGCACCCGCCTCGGCACAGTACTCCTGCAGCAGCCTCTCCGCACTCGTCCTCTTCTCCATCTTTTTGTGGAACCATTTCTCCCCCAAGTGCAGCTCCATGGGTGGGAGGTCCTGGGTCATGACGACCAAGGGGGCTCTGAGAGCTCCGCCGCCTCCCCTGCCTGCCACCTTCCCTGGACAGCGACTGCTGTGGGGGCCTCCTGGAGTCCTGCGACTCCCTGCCCTCCATGGGGCCATGGGTCCCCAAGAGAGG